TGGGTGTCCTTGTCCTGAACATATGTTGGACTGAGGATTCCTTCCCTAAGCCACGCTGGGCATTGCTCAATTATTCAGGCCTTCAATGAGAAGATTCTGTTCTGGGCTTCTAATGTGCTTTTATTGCCCACTTCCCATTCAGCTGTGGAAGCTTTAATCTTCAGCAGAGCCTGCGGTGGCCATGAGAATGGGCTTTGGAACAGCCCAGATTCTATTGCAGTTTCGCGTGTTCCCAGCTGAATGGGAGGTGGTGGGCACTGACTGATGCAGTCGCTACAAAATGCTAGGAACCGTTTCTGGAATTGTTAATGTGGCAGGTCACGTGGCTAAATTCCCACTTGTGCTCAGTATTCACCCTGCTAAGTCCTCATGATCGTGTGTGTAGAGAAGAATTATACTGCTGCTCCCTGCACTTTGTCTGGCTAAAAAGAAGGAGCCAGATCCTCTGTTGATGACAATCAGTGTAGGTCCACTCATTTAGCAATCAGTCGAGGATGAGGATCTGGACTGGAACAGATTTCACAAACTAAATGTACCTTCAAATAAAAAACCAATCTCTTGCTTCCACCCACAAAAGATTTCTTTGTTCACCGGTTCCCTCAAAAAAAAATTAATTGCATCTTTATTTGAAAGTGTTTTAATACCTCTGGAGAACTTCTTAGTAGTCCTCTTCTTTTTCCCTCCAGTCCCAGTAAACGCACTATGAGTGAATGTGTTGCATTATCCTTTGTGCCCAATGGAGCATTGTTCAGACTGACCTGGTATCTTTGAATTCACTGGTGAATCTGAAGATAATGATGTGTGGGGTAGAGGAGGATCCTGCTGCAGTATTTCTGTAAATCTTGCACATTGTAAGTAATGATCCACAGAATAGCTTCCGACATTTAACAAGCAGACTGCCTGCTCTTGGGTGGCATTAAAAAGAGTTAGTATTTTAGCAACTTCTTTTCTCCCTATTGTTCTTAATCGCGGAGTCATATGAAGAAAACTGCTTCAATCTGTGATAGAAAGCACGTTTCCTTTCTTAGAGGAAACCTAAATGAGTTCAGTGATTTTAGGAAAGCAGAGCTTGCAGTTCATGTCATTACCCCCTGTTAAAGAAACCAGTCAGTAGCAATGTGTCAGAGAAGCAGATATATGTTGTCTCCTCATCTATGATTTTTCAGTTTCTCTAAATACCACAGTGTTGAGAAATGGTTCATGCAATCTGGCTAATATACAGGCCATTAATTCTTTGGAATTGACCTATACTCACCAATTAAGCCTGCATCATTCATTAAAAAAATGAACACACTTCTATATTTATTTACATTTCATGATAGTGTGGCCAAATTGATAAAGGACATAGAATAAACTATTTTACAGCCAAAATGGAGAGAAATCTTGTATCATAAAAGTTAAAACACCAGCAGGGTCGTAAGCAAGATTGGTTTTAAATCACAGGTCTCATTGTCTGTCTCGCCATTGGTGAGTGGGCGAGTAGCTTTTTCAAGACCTAAACGAAACACAAGTTCTTTGGGACAAAGACTTTGTCAGTGCCTAGCGCAATGGAGCACCAGTCTTGTTTTTGGTATCTCTTGGTACTGTGGTAATATCCATATTTAATAATAATAATACAATCACAATGACTTTCCTTGACTGAATTCATCCTGAGGAGAGGGGTGCTGTTATCTACCAGTTGCTGAGGGCTGTTTTATTACTGGTTTATTTGTTGTTTGTAATACCATAGTGCCTAAGAGCCCTAATCAGGGACCAGGATTCCATTGTGCTAGGTGCTGTACAGACCCAGGACAAAGAGACAGTTCCTGCCCAAAAGAGCTTGTGTGGGCATTCCATACACCATTGTTCTTCCCCTTTTCCCCTGTTGCAGTGCAGCCGAGCGGTAGTCATGACATGCAGCAGGGAGACATTGAATGGTTAAAAGGGAGTAGTTGTCAAGTTGTCCCCCCGCCGCCCTTTAAATTTCAGAGAAGCTTCATGTCCAACCTACTTCTCCAGCTCCCTTGAACCACATGGCTACCTAGCTGGCAAGTTTTGTGCCATCCGTGTGACATGATTAGAGTCTGGAGCACATGACTTAAAAGGAGAGGCTGAGGAAACTGGGATTGTTTAGTCTGCAGAAGAGAAGAATGAGGGGGGATTTGATAGCTGCTTTCAACCACCGAAAGGGGGTTCCAAAGAGGATGCATCTAGACTGTTCTCAGTGGTAGCTGATGACAGAACAAGGAGTAATAGTCTCAAGTTTCAGTGGGGGAGGTTTAGGTTGGACATTAGGAAAAACGTTTTGACTAGGAGGGTGGTGAAGCACTGGAATGGGTTACCTCGGGAGGAGGTTGTGGAATCTCCTTCCTTAGAGGTTTTTAAGGTCAGGCTTGACAAAGCCCTGGCTGGGATGATTTAGTTGGGGATTGGCCCTGCTTTGAGCAGGGAGTTGGACTAGATGACCTCCTGAGGTCCCTTCTAATCCTGATGTTCTATGATTCTATGACGATTTTATTTGTTTAACGAAATAATTTGCATAGTTGCATATAACCATAAACATAAGCTTACAGTCAACAGGCCCTGTCCTGAGCAGTGGTGAGGATCGGGCAGGGCATGGAGCTGAACAGAACTTGACAGCTGTGGTTGGAGTTGGGTAGGTGTGCGGGTGTTCAAGGGTATCGGAGGCCATAATTGTATGGGGTAGAAAGCTGGAGGTAGCTGGGTGGAAGGCTGTTGGGATTTTTAGCGCTGAAGGGCACATGGGTGTTGGGGCTCCTGGAAATGATAATGGTTTCACAGAGTTCCTGGGAGTAAAGGGTGCTGGGTGGCAGGGGCCTTCTAAGTGGCAGGGGCTTGGTGTGCTCCAGGGGGCAAGGGGGCTGATGGGAGCAGGGCATTAGGGATGAGGCTGCGGGTTTGTGCTTGTGAAGCCTGGAGCAGGTGGCTGCAGGGGGAAGAGGCATGGGCATCTGAGGCCAGACTGAGGCTCCCCTCACCTTTTACTGCTGCCCCTGCCAGCTTCCCATCCCTGGTCCTGATCCACTGATCCTCAAGTGGCCAGAAAAGGAGAAACTGAAATTGAAGACCTGCTGCCTTCCCTGCTACTGAGCCAGGTGTGTGAGGGTTAGGCTGGGCTGCAGGAAGGCATGATGGGGCTGCAGTGTAGCTCGTGCTCACAAACTGATCACGAGTCACTGGGTTTTGGAGCCTGCAGGGAGAGCTCGGGCGATGATATAAGAAGCTTCTTTTTGCAATTTTTTTCAAGGCTGGGCAGGAGGGCAGAGCTGTGTGGGAGCCTCGGGGCTAAGGCCACCACACCTGCTCGGCCATTGAGCCCTGCCTGCCTCTATGCATTGGCCTTAGCACAGGGTAGGTTGGGGTAGTAGGAGGCAGAGGTAGGGGGAACTGGGGAACACGTTGCTGCTGGGCCTGTGTTCGGGCCTGCTGCCTCCTGTTGTCCCAGAGCTGCTCCTATGCCTGGTACCAGCTGCAGCACTTCCCCCACGCTGCTGGCAGTGGGGGAAGCCCCTGGGCAACAGGCAGGAAGAAAAATTCAAATATAAAATAATTTATTTTGGCTATTTGATTTGGACAATTAATTATGAGGTTTATTTTATTTAAATAATGTATTGTAATCACTGGATAATTGATACGGTTATGTCATTATTAAAATGATAGGAAGAAAGGAGAATGATTTAAAATTATTTTTATTTGCTTTGAATGTGAGTGAAGATGATTTTTTAAATAATAACACTTAAGGGTTATAAATATCATTGCAACACTGAGCTATCGAATGCTCTGCTAGGGCTGGGGGGTTTCCACAATGAGCAAGGTGGATGATACTACAGGATGGCTGGGATCAGGGAGGAAGGGTGAGGTGGAGAAGATGGTAAACTAGGAAGGGAGAGAGTCAAGATAGTCATAGGAAATGGATGGCCCTTCCCCTCTTTCAGGGATGAGAAGAGGGTCAGTGGAGTCTGACCTGGGAAGGGTTAGTTAGAGGATTTTTTGAATGCACCCCAAACTTAACTGACTCATTTTACACAAAGTGTATGTGTGTGTGGGCAGGTGGATCTTTAGTTCTCCTGCTGCAGGAATGGAGTGCAGCTGCATGTTGTTTTCAGTCTTCGCATCAGTCTGAGGAGGAAAATGGGGTCAGTTTCAGAAGGAAAGAGGCTTAATTTGTTCTTAAGTTGAAAGCTGTGGTCCTCCTTACAGGGCCCAAAGCTTGTCTCTGTTAATAGGTGACTGGCATGAGCCCTACCACCTTATCAGTGATCATGTGAGACAAGGGTCTTTTCTTCCAGTCTTAATTGTTTAATCTATAGTAAATGGTCTTCTTGGGCAAAAATTCCTCTAAGAGGGATATACTAAGTGCACATGAAAGAGAATAATGTTGCTAGATTGCAGAGAGCAGTCTCCTTTCCTAGATACTTTACTATGCACCTTGAAACATTTTCAGATTTTATTTTTGTTGTTGAGAAATAAGAAAATATCCCAACCCTGTTTGTTGACTTTACTCCTTTCCTAGCTCTATTCCATCTGCATAGAGATTACGTAAAGATTATCACTTCACTTCTATAAACTAATGTCTAATTAAATGTATGGTCATATGAATGAGGTAGTCAATTTCAATTGAGGATGCTTTAGAATTGTTTCATAAGTGACCTGTGATGCTGACTGGCTCTTAACTTCCCTTTATCTTTGGGGTTTTTGTAAAGCCCTAAAACCCTGCATGGAGATAAGATCAGACAGACAGATCCCCGTCTCTGTCTGGAGCTCCACTGACCTCCATGGACATCTCCATGCAGAGTTCAGGGCCTAAAGGTGTATATTACAGTTCAAGATGTCTGAGTTCACAATAGTAGTATTTATTAAGATTGTGAAATCTTTGGGATCAGAGACCTTTTTCTTGTCTGACTACATCATATTTATTTGATGCCTGTATTTATAATAAATTATGATTGCCCTACATAAACAATAACACCAAGATGATGATGGTTTTTCTTTCTTTCCAGTGTACAGAGGCCAAAAAGCATTGCTGGTACTTTGAAGGGTTGTATCCTACATATTATATGTAAGTAGTCATCATTTTCTTCTATATGTGTTCAGTTGCTCAGATTTCACTCTCTTGATCTTGTGATAGCATCGTTTCACTAGTTCTCCAGTAATCCTAGAGTCTTCCAGAGCGGAGAAGAAGGTTCTCAAGTAAAAAAGAAAGCGGGGGCAGGGGGAAATGATTAAAACAAAACAAATCTAAACTTCCACATCTTTTTTTATAGCAGACAGAAGCAAAAAAATAAAATAATAAAGCACAAGTACATTTTCCTTACTTTTCAGACCACCTTTAAGCTGAGAGAAGAATAAAGGAGTTTATAAACAAGTCTGTCATCAGAATGTTACAAGGAAAGGTGGCCAGTGCTTTATGAGGCAATGATCATATCTTTTTTGTTTTGAACAAGGAGCAAGTAACTGGGCAGGATACCAAGCAGGCTTTGAAAATAAATTTGTCTCTGTGGTATTACTGTTTGTTTAGTCAAGGGAACTGAGGTTATTTGTTACCCAGAGTGTAGCTGCGTTATTGGTGGATGGCATCCAAGTTTACATCAAGTTCAGTCGTAAACTAGTCCTGAGAAGTTCACTGTTTTCTAGATTGGAAAGTGCCTGTGAAGCTGGCCACCTGCATTACCAGCCAGTTTGTTTCAGGAGAGATTTGTTTTTAGGATTGAATGTTTCATGTCTTTTGTGACAGGGTCAGGCCAGATGGCTACAGGAGAGTAATAGAAGGCAGATATATTAGCCCCAGGTTAAGTAGGTCCCTTTTCCCTTGGTAAGGTAACAGGGAAGGTTCCAGAACAATCAGGAACCTTCTGGAAACAAGACAGACAGGCTGATTAGAACACCTACAGCCAATAAAGAAGCTGCTAGAATCAATTAAGGCAGGCTAATCAGGGCACCTGGGTTTAAAAAGGAGCTCACTTCAGTTTGTGGTGCGTGTGTGAGGAGCTGGGAACAAGAGGCACTAGGAGCTGAGAGTGAGAACGCGTACTGTTGGAGGACTGAGGAGTACGAGCATTATCAGACACCAGGAGGAAGGTCCTATGGTGAGAATAAAGAAGGTGTTGGGCGGAGGCCATGGGGAAGTAGCCCAGGAAGTTGTAGCTGTCGCACAGCTGTTCCAGGAGGCACTCTAGACAGCTCCATTCCACAGGGCTTTGGGCTGGAACCCGGAGTAGAGGGCGGGCCCGGGTTCCCCCCAAATCCTCCCAACTCCTGGTCAGACACAGGAGGAGTTGACTTGGACTGTGGGTTCACGAAAACGGCTAAACTGAGGGCTGCCGTGAAGTTCCGAGGCGAGCAAATCCGCCAATAAGCGCAAGACCCACCAAGGTAGAGGAGGAACTTTGTCACACTTTGTATAGGGTTTTTGCTATTCATGTACCAGGTGAAATTATCAGAGAGATGAATGGGTACTTGCATCCTGGATATGGTGTATATAGTAACATGGGGAGCAAAGATGTAAGTACCTAGATTATTATTGTTATTATTTGTGTTACAGTATTGAGTACAGATCCAGCTGAGACCAGGGCCCATTGTACTAGGCACTGCAGAGAAACATAGTAAGAGACGGTCCCAACCCTGGATGATGATGATGATGGTGATGACACCTAGCTCTTAGCTAGTGCTTTTCATCCAGAGATCTCGAAGCACTTTACAATATCATTATCCACATTTTACATATGGGGAAACTGAAAGAAGTGAAGTGACTTGTCCAAAGTCATACAGCAGCTCAGTGGCAGAGCTGGGAACAGAATCTAGGGTCCTACTCATAGAATCACGCTGCATCTTCAGAACCTTCCTTTTCATAAGTCTAAAATGTTGAAGATTAAAGCTTCCACAGCTGAATGGGAAGTGGGCAATAAAAGCATATCAGAAGCCCAGAACAGAATCTTCTCATTGAAGGCCTGAATAACTGAGCAATGCCCAATGTGGCTTAGGGAAGGAATCCTCAGTCCAACATATGTTCAGGACAAAGACACCCATGCAGTCAGGCCATGACTGGCTACTGCTGAGTGTGCGTGTTTGCTGGAGACGGAGGAGGTGGGGACAGAAGGCACAGCAGAGAAGGTACAACAGGTACAAGCTGTGTACCAACCAGGTGGTTCCATACTTGATCCAAGGATCAACTCCTCCCTCCCCCGTTATACATGATCCCAAAAGGAGACCTTTCACAGAAGTCACTTTCATGGGTTTGCTGCAGTTTTGACTGTTAGGGCAGCAGAAACGCATAATTTCTTCTGCATCAGGGACTGCATTCTAGAATGTGGCCCAAGTGGTGAGAGCCAATTGCTTCAGGCTAAAGAATCAATACTGGTAGACATACCAGTGGCTGAGAATCACTGTACTGCAGGAATCAACTTAGTTCCACCTGCTTCCACCCCACGGGTGGTTGGATTGCCTGTTTTGCCCCTGTCGGTCTGTGCCTTTAGGTAGGTGAACACAGGCTGTTCGCAGCAGTAGAGAAGAAGATGAGAGTGCTACAGCAAACTATGGCATCCCTGAACAGAAAGGGAGCTTAAACAAATGCTTATAGTTCAGGACCATTGAAGTCAATGGGATGTAGGCACATGCTTAAGCGCTTTCTTGAATTGCAGCCTATACTTGCAAAACTCAGTTCTTTGACTTAGCACCAAGTGGGTGGGAAGGATGGGTGGGTGCGGGGAACATTCCTAAAGATTTGGGGGAAGGAAGGAGATGATCAGCTGGATTCTATCATTTGGATTTTATAACTTTGTTGGGCACTTGCATACTATCGTAATGAATGTGGGATAGATGGATAGGTAGAAGCAATAGGTGAAACGTTCCCTAAGCAAACTCATCCTTGCTTATTATGAGGGACTTGGGATAAAAACAGTCATTACGTTGCATAAGAACAAGCCTTCCTTCTATTCTCCACCCCCATTTCATCTGCCCGAAACAGAAGAAAAACACTACAGACAAGAGCAGCCAGGAAGGTAGGCAAGAAGCAAAGCTCTCTGAAGTGACACACAGTATTTTACATGCATGTTAATCATCCGTGATCTAAAATACTAACTGGTATATGATGTTTGTTGGGATCTGACTGTCTTTTTAGGTGACAAAATGTTCAGAATTACTCATAAGCTGTTGGCCAGAATAGATGGGTTAATTTAAATAATTTAATTTTCTTTCCATCCTCATAATAACAGGAGTTTAGTTCCACCTACATTTAATTTTTTTGCAGCAATACAGGAAAGAATCTGAGATTTTATAAAAATTCCACTGTACCTTAACATTCAGGAGCACATTATTCACCATCACACCAGGGTTCCACGTATGTTTCTGCTCACGCACAATCATAGCAGACTGCCATTTTCCTTGTTAACATGAGGTTCTATTTGCTCTCATGTTTGGTGTTGGCTCAGTCTGCTTATACTCCAGGTAAATTCAATGTGAACTGGTGAAAGCCTCGGTTACATACACAGACCAAACAAGAGACTGACTATTTGCAATAACGAAACTGACAGATCTCCCAAGTACAAGGATGCTTCCTAATGATTTTTCTTGAGGCAACCAGCATACCACCACCTTTGTGTGCTAAAATTGATTATTCTGTGGGGAGAAAATGCATTTATTTTCTAATCCATCAGTGACATTAATTGGACTTGTAAGCAACTCACCACCCCCAACGCTGAAATGGAGACAGCTCATACATTATGCTGAGAATTGTAAGAGAGACTGTTCCATTTGTAGGTGGTGGTGGTTGGGTTTTTTTTAATTGTTAATAGACCTACTCAATTGTTGGGATTCTTCACATGTCCCTGTGGTGGGAGACTGGTGGGCACCGTGCCATTTAACCAGATGATGATGGATCATGTTGATCGTGGTAGTGCCCAAGGGCTAGCCAAGAGTGGGACCCTCACTGTGGAAAGCACTGTACAAACACAGAGTAGCAGACAATCCCTGCTCTGAAGAATTTATAATCTGACTAGACAAGATAGAGACAGCGTAAGGCCAAGGGATAAAACACAGCAGCAGAACAAATAATATGATGGCAGCAAGCATCATCTTTTTTTGGGGGGCAGGAGGGTGGGGGGCATGATTCAAGCGGGAGGTTGTGGGGGTGGGGGGATTACCTAACTAAACGGAGAGGGACAGGTGAAAGGAGAGGGAAGGTTGAAGGGAAATGGGTGATGGGGACGGGGCAGGTTGAAAGGAAGTGGGTGATGGGGACAGAGCAGGTATGAAGTGAAGCTGAGATGAAGAAACGGAGAGTTGGAGCAAACAGCCAATCAGCACAGGGTAGAGAGCATATAGTCAAAACTGCAGAAAATTATGTGATAGCATTGGGATCTGAAGGTCGCTGCTTCTGTAACTGTTCCTCCTGGCTGGGATCCGTGGCTGACTCCTTGCTGCAGTTTTTCCCCAAGACCACTTGACTAGAGGAGTGGAGGCACCATATAAGTCCTAGTGCCCCCTGAAGGGGGTCTCCTCTACACAGTTTTAGGTCACAGGACTGTTGGGGAATGGGGATTGGCTACAGCTGGGCTCTATTTTACTCCCTCGCCCCCAGTGCAGCAGTCCTTAAGAAGAGAACTTGATAGGCAAGCTCAGGTTCATAATGAATTTAATTGCATTTTATTCCAAATGATCTAATAGGACTGGCTTTTCACGCCGACATAATTACCACCTCTCGCAGAGGCAGGAGTTATTAAGCTGATGGGAAAGCTCTCTCCTGTCAGCATAGAGCGTCTTCACCACAAGTGCTGTAGTGTAGATGTAGCCTTAGGAACTGGAATGAAGTCATCATTTCATTTCAGATGAGCCAGCAAACACTTATGAGACAGGAACAACTTTCAGTCCCTAATGAGGGGTGCGGGATTGGAACTGGTGGCCCAAAGGTGAAATGTGCTGCACCCTAAGAGTACTGCACATCTGAAGGACATTGCCGTTGGAAAAAATGGCACGGGAAGAGATCTCACACAAGAGTCAGTAGTTGTTTGGCAAGATACATAAAAGACTTGTTGTATATATCCATTGTGTGCAGGAAGATTTGTA